TAGTAAAATAACACATAGGTAATAGAAATATTTCAATTAATCTTTATTGTTATTTGTCTAATGTATAGTGATTATGTATCAGCTATTCAATTAAATATTCTATCGTTTACAACAGTTCGAGTTTATGCTGAATCATTTCAATCGATTAAATAATAAGAAAATCTTCAAGTTAAAATCAAAACTAAGTTTGATTTGTTTTTCTTGTTATAAATACACATTCATGTTGAATAAATAATAGTGAATATTTAAAGTTTTGTTTTTCAAGACGAGAATAAGATGTATTAAGATGAATATGTGGTTGTTATTATGATTGAAAAATAAATTCAATGAATAATCAAGAATGTATGAATAATTCTCAAACTGCGAACTAAATGAAACATCCTATAATGAACGTTTTCAATGTCGAGAAATGGTCGATGTATTCCATTAAATTATAAATATGATGAAAGTTAGTCTTTCGAATTAATTATAAAAATACAAATTTTTTTCTTCTTCTGTTTCCTCTTCGAATTTCAATAGATAATGATTATCATCATAATAATCATGAACAAAATTGTGTTTCGGTAAGAAAACAAAATAGATTTTTTTATCTTTGATATCTTAATAAAAAAGCTTGTTAGCGCAGCCCCTTTGGGGCTGAAATGTGGAACTCACATATCTTCTTTACTTTCACTTTGCTGATGGCAACATATATAATGTTTAAATTCTCTCAGAGACGATAATTCTTTTCTAATGATAATTGATTGTTAGGAAATGTTGTCGTTTTTCATTTATATACTTCGAGTAGAACCTTTTTTTCTCGTTGCTATGTGTCTGTAATGGGGGGGGAGTATCCATGTAATGTTTTTTTTCGTTGCTATGTGTCTGTAATGGGGGGGAGCCGCAAAAACTTGACCTTAAAACTTACACTCACTATTTTCTTCGAAAATATATGTGAGTTCCACAAAAATCTCTTTATATAGCTGGAATAAGAACATGTAAAATAAATCAATTTCAATGTCGAAATACTGATGTTTGTATAAATAATCAACTTGTTTGTGATAGTTATCCTCATTGTCAAGATCGTTCGAATGAATTCAATTGCAATAAAATAAAAAAAGATTTGATTTATTTGGATTTTTCAAATGAAAAATTCAATTTAAGGTCAAACTTACTTATAAAATCAATTTCATTATGCAACAGAAAATTGTATTCCTAAATCTTGGATATGTGTGATAATGGTAAAGAACATTTTTTTTTCTTATTATTAATTATTTATTTTTATATAGAAAATGATTGTGATGATTGAAATGATGAATAGAAATTTCAATGTTTTCAAATCTGAACAATTGAATATTTTGTTTTAGAATGAACATGTGATTCATTAACATAATTTACTTGTTCTTATACACCTGGAAAAATGTATTCCGAATGATATGTTAAAAAGAAAAGCTTTTATTTGAATTATTAGATTGTGATGATAATGCTAATAGTTAATAAGAAAAAAAGAAACTCTTTGTTTTTATTGAGAATAAATTTTTGTAGAAGTTGATTGTTCATCAATATCATGTGGAAAAGGACAATTTTTATGTTCACATGATTATCATTGTATAAATGCAACAGAACAATATGATGACATTGCTAGTATGAGATAGTTTGTTTCTTTTATAAAATGATTGAAAGATTTAATTGATATGTTTAAATTATCAATCAATGGATGATGATGAACAATATTGTGGTGGTACAACATCATTATATTGTCGAACAGATTATTTTCATTGTGAATCAACTTGTATACCAAATGTAAATTAAAATCAAAGAGAAAGTTTATTAATAGTTAATTGTTTTTTTTTTCTTTCAAATAGGCTTGATATTGTGATAGTCATTGAGCTAAAACGAGTATTTAAATAGAAAGAAATTTTATCTGAATAAATTTAGATTGTGTTAATAAATCTGATGAACCGGCAAGTTGTAGTTAGTATCTTTTAATTGATAGAAAATGTTAAATGATGTTGATTGTAGGTGCATGAACTTGTACATTAACAGAATTTCGTTGTATGACATATGGTGATGATATTGCCGAACTATGAATGTGCGATCATGAAATAAGAAGTTTACTTTTCTCTTCGAAAAATTTTCAATATTTCATTTTATTAAAGATAATTATGATGATAGTTTGGATGAACATACAGAACAATAATGTCATGAGTAGAA